ACACACTGAGGGCAGGAACGGGGCAAGGCAGGGCAGGGCAGGCAAGGGAAAATACACACACACACACACTGAGGGCAGGAACGGGGCACAGCGAGCAGGGCAGGCAACGCGGGGCAAAGGAACGGCACACACACACACTGAGGGCAGGAACAGGGCACGGCAGGGCAGGGCAGGCAACGCGGGGCAGGGAAATACACACACACACACTGAGGGCAGGAACGGGGCACGGCAGGGCAGGGCAAGCAAGGGAAATACACACACACACACACGGGGAAAACATGCAGGGGATCTTCTGGTTTATAGCTGGAGGTATTGGCATCAGCACTGCAATATTTTCTATTTTATAGCTGTGAATATCGATATTAGCACTGCAATATTTTCTATTTTACAGCTGTGAATATCGATATTAGCACTGCAATATTTTCTATTTTATAGCCATAAATATCGATATTAGCACTGCAATATTTTTTATTTTATAGCTCTAAGTATTGGCATCAGCACTGCAATATTTTCTATTTGATAGCTGCAAGTATTGGCATCAGCACTGCAATATTTTTTTATAGCTGTAAATATCAATGCAATATTTTCTATTTTATAGCTCTAAGTATTGACAGCAGCACTGCAATATTTTCTGTTTTAGAGCTGTAAATATCGATATCAGCACTGCAATATTTTTAATAGCTGTAAATATCAATATTAGCACTGCAATATTTTCTATTTTATAGCTCTGAGTATTGGCATCAGCACTGCAATATTTTCTATTTTATAGCTCAAAGGATTGACATCAGCACTGCAATATTTTCTATTTTATAGCTGTGAGTATTGACAGCAGCACTGCAATATTTTCTATTTTACAGCTGTAAATATCGATATCAGCACTGCAATATTTTCTATTTTATAGCTGTAAATATCGATATTAGCACTGCAATATTTTCTATTTTATAGCTGTAAATATCAATATTAGCTGGGAGATTGAGGAGTGTTTTCTACATTTATGGTTTTTAAAAGATCAGTGGACGTGATTGAGATAAAGTTTTTTAGAGGAAATCCTCCCCCCTCTTTTTAAAAATCTC